CCCCAGAGCAGCCACGCCCCCACGCGGCGCCACGCCGGGACACCACACACACCCCTGGCACGCCCCCGCTCTGCGGCTTCCCTCCACCACCGAAGGCCGGGTTGGAGCCTGCGCCTGTGTCCTCTCTGCTCCGAGGGCCTGTGAGAGCACCAGCCTGGCCTGTGCCTACACCACACAGGCACCCTCCGCTTTGCGACGCAGGTCTGTGCGGCTCCCGCACTCCCATCTGAGCCGGCCCCGGGCCGTCCGCCTTCGGGAGGACAGCCCGTGTCAGCGCCACCGCCACCGCCGAGCAAGAAGTGGACGACCTGGCCTCAGAACCACCTAGCACGCACTAGTGACAGTCCCCCGCCTGTCTCACCTACCCGCAGTCCTCAAGCCTGCCTTGCTCCCTCTGGGCCTCAGAAACCACACCCTGAACATCACCCTGACCTGCTCAAGACAGTGCTTGGCCTGGGTGCTCTGCAGTCTGACCACAGTAGCTCACCACTCCGCCACTCCGCAGTCCAAGGGATATGGATGGCCCCAAGATCGGGGGAGGATTGGGTCGGGCCGCTGCCCTGCAAACCCTTGAAAGGGTGCAAGGAAGTCACCCTGAAGTATAGCGTGTAGCCTCAAGGTATCCCTGATGATCCCCACCCCCAAACTGCCTCCTCCACCTATAAGCAGAAAGGAGGGCAAAAAGGTAATCAGCGGGAGCCCAACCCTTTACAAAGTAATGCCTGTCTCTTAGGCTCATTCAGCTTCCAAAGAGAACTATTTGCAGATCATTCTCTGTTTCCCCCATCCATTCATTCTCCAGCTGTGTGTTGCCCCTCAGTAGAATTCCTCTTCCTCCCCCTTCCCTATCCTGTTCTACCAGCATACTAGCCTCATTCTTCCTGTTACCTCAAGATAGCATTTAAGTCTCTGTAACTCTTAGGGAAGTTGAGTCATCCTTTTGAATGCTCCCGTGCATCCATGTTAGATAAACGTGTAGGCCTTTTCTCCTGTTAATCAATCTGCCTCATGCCAATAATTTTTCAGCAAACCTTTATGGGGCCAATGGCCCTTACACACTCTCAGGGTCTCCCATGGATCATGGGATGAGCTCTGAAATTCCTAGCATGGCCTGACCCTCACCTATCCCACGGACACCAGGAGCTGAGAAGACATCTCTGTGGGAATGTGACATGAAGAGTCATCTTGCAAAGCGGCCCCCTCACTCGGGGACTGACCACCATCTCTCAAGGGCCAGGGCTTAGCACTCAGCCCCCAAGAATGAGTCTGTTCATGTGCTCTGTGTGTGTGTGTGTGCACGCGTGCACATAGGGGGAAGAGGATTAGATATCCCAGATTAGATAATTCCAGAGGTCAACTTCCCCACTGTTATTGAAAAGATCCCAAACTCTGTAAAACATTTTAAGATGGTTTATTCTTGAGCCAAACTGGAGGACTGAAGCCCGGTACACCCATCCCCAGGAGGTCCTGAGAATATGTGCCCACTGTTAGATTAAAGATCTCGGTGGGACCTCCAAAAATGTTAGGTTAAAATATATATCCCAGTGGGGCCTCCAAAATATTAGGTCAGACCCTTGGGGGTGGGGTGTCTGGTGAGATCTGATGCTGCATGAAAGATGCAAAGAAATGCCAGAATTTAGATTGGAAAATATAGTTTATTTAGAGAGTAAATTAGAGAGAGAGTAGATTCACCTCTCCAAGGTAGGAGAGGGGGGCAAAGCTTAGGAAATATGGCAGCGGCTATAGCTCAAAGAGCATATGGCCATACCAGAGGTTAGTAAAGCAATGATGCCTGGCTACTTTAGGTAGAATGCTTTTAAACATTTGCCCTTGATGAGGGCAGGTTGTTAAGGTGGTTGGGTGGGGGTCTGCTCCACATCATCAAGAAGGGACAGGTACTCACAGGTACTGAGAAAGAGGCAGGTACACACAGGTGCTGACAACAGGTGATAGACAGCAGGCAGATGGGTGGGTTAGTCACAAGGTTGCTGCCATGGTGATATGGTCTGTGTCACCAAGGTCATGAAGGTATGATTCTGTTAACTTGTTTACAAAAGGAGCTGGGGAGAGGGTTATAAACCAATTATCAATAGCTACCTCTGAGAAACCAGTTCTGTCCTTGACTAGTGATTAGAGGGTAAAGAGAACTGCTAGAGAAACATGACAGATCCAGGCAATGTTAAAATGGCTGCTCATTGACTATATTGATTCCATGTTTCATCCACTGTGGTTGAATGATGGCTTGGTTATATACACTTCAGGAAGATGGAAGTTACAAGAAACCACAAATCAAAACATGTGAGTTTTCCATTGGTCCAGGAAGAAGGGACATTTCCAAACAGGGGCTTGTAGGTCATAGGCGGATTCAAAGATTTCTTGACTGGTGATTTTGTCGTTCTTACCCAAGTGTTTGGGAAATCAGTGGAGGAAATGCTTTGTTAAGATACTGGTTGGAAAACTCCAGGCCTGTTGATGTGTAGATGGAGGTAAAATGTTTTGCTGAAACAAAGGGCTGAGAGACTCCAGGTGTCTTGGTGTGTAGTTGAAGTCCTGTGAGTGGTGGACCCCAGAGAGGATGGACCAATGTCTTGCAGGGTCCCCAAAGTCTGGGAATCCACAAGAGATGACTTTTCAGGGCCATAAGACACTACTTTCTTTGTTGTGTGATGTTATGCCAGAGTAGGGTTGGAAAAACAATAGGGTAACAAGGTAATAATACACTGTCTGGGGGAGTCCTTATCAGGCTGTGATTCCCCAAGCCTCTTAGTTAAGAATTTGAGTAAGCCAGGCACTGTGGCTCACACCTGTAATCCTGCACTTTGGGAGGTGGAGGCGAGAGGAGTGCCTGAGTCGAGGGGTTCAAGACCAGCCTGGGCAATTTGGTAAGAATTTAGCTCTACAATAATAAATAATTAACTGAATGTGGTGGTGCATGCCTGTAGTTCCAGCTACTTGGAAGGCTAATGCAGAAGGATTGCCTGAGCTCAGCAGGTCGAGGCTGCAGTGTTGTGAGCATGCCACTGCGCTGCAGCCTGGGCAATAGAGTGAGACTCTGACTCAAAAAAAAAAAAAAAGAATTCAGGTAAGAGAAAAAAAAGTTCAGTTCAAGTCCCAAGTCCCATCCTTCCCACACACTGGACACCAGCCTTCCCAGTCCTCCAGAGGCTCCAGGCCCTCCTGCCCACAGGGCTTATGCACAGGCCATTTTCCCTGCAGGGATGCTCCCTCACCTCATTCCCACCCACACACACCCACACTGAGTTAATGGTCATTCCTACTTATATTGTGAGTAGTCAGTGGCTTCCTGGGGTCCTCAGCACCCCGTGACTGTCTAGCCTCAGATGGGCCTGTCCCATACACTCTCCCAAAGCCTGGACCCCACCCATGAGGCATTACCACTGTTTAAAATCAAATGTTTACGATTATCCAGTTGATACCTGTCTTTCCCTCCAGAATACAAGGCAAAGCACATGTCTGTTTCACCCACTCTGCCCACTCTGAGTACAGTGGGTGGCAGACAGTAGGTGCCTAGTAAAGTACCCCCTGGGAATGTGAGGCAGGGTAGCTAGCACAGGTTAGACGTAGATAGATCCATTTTCCAGAGGTAGGTTGAAGAAGCTTTCAGACGTTTTTAAAATTACATTTTACACAGGTGAGAGGATTGCCTGAGCTCAGGGATTCGAGACTAGTCTGGGCAACTTGGTGAGAACTCATCTCTACAATAAATTGAAGAAGAAGAAAAAGAAGAAGAAGGAGAAGGAGAAGAAGAAGGAGAAGAAAAAGAAGAAGGTGGTAGCACACGTCTGTAGTTCCAGCTACTTGGAAGACTAAGGCAGAAGTTTCACCTGAGCCCAGCAGGTCGAGGTTGCGGTGGCCGTGAGTGTACTACTGTGAACAGGCAAACCATCTGGAGGAAGCCAAAAGGGCCATAACAATGGTCAGGAGGAAGGGGGTCCCTGCCTAACTATTTTCTTCTCCTTGCAATATCCACTTCTATAAACAACTTGCTTAAGCCCCCCATCACCCGAGCTATACTGTACACACACAGAAATATAAATTGCACGTATGCGGAAATGTAAACCTGATATAAGGCAAAGCTCACAAGTAGACGGGGCCCCAGAACTTAGGCATTAGCCCCCTGGGCCTGCCAGTGTAAATAAACATGTGTTCTCCTCAAATTCCAGGAGTACCACTGGTTTCTTGACTGCAGGAGTCAGTTCTACCACAACAGCCTGGGTGACAGAGTGAGACTCCAACTCAAAAAAATAAAATAGACTGGGCTCGGTGGCTCAGCCTGTAATCCCGCGCCTTGGGAGGCCGAGGTGAGTGAATCGCCTGAGCCCGCGGGTTCGAGACCTGCCTGGGCAACTTGGCGAGACCTCATCTCTAC